TAATGTATCCTCCATATATCAAACCAACACATAAGTAAGCTCCTTTAAACAAAACTGGTGGTATATTATGCTTGTAGATAATACAATTATTACATTAATATTGAAAATATACGTTTCAATTGGTGACAACTTATCATATATAAAGATTGTTAAAAGGTGAAGTCTTGGGTACGAAGAACATCAAACGTATCAATAACTTATCTTGGGGAATTAATTCAGAGGCAAAGAGTTACCGTCGATGTTCTACAGAACCAGCCTGAGTCTGTGAGACGGAATGTCACAATATCATTCATTTCGAGATCGTTCAAAGGTGGTGGTTTACCGTTTAATCGAATCTAATAGATCGATGACAATCTTAAAGGTCAACCGTACCAAATGTAAATGCTTAATTTATATTTTTGACATATCGAATGACCTTTTGTATGTTTCATAAGGAATAGAGATATATTGACATATGACATCATCTGATTAGTTGTGAGCTTCTCGTCAAAATTTTATTTTATATTTCTTGAGAGCTATACATTTTAAATTGTACATAAACCGGTACGCAATTAGTATTATAAATATAGTACGTTTTTTTCTGCATTATGTGCACCAATATATTTAAATTTAAATTATATTTAAAATAAATTTTGTTGATATTTTATATTTATTATTTGTATCAATATTTTAATATAAATTTTATTCTAGTTAAACATAAAATTAAGATAAAACAAATTTTTTTTAATTATATTTAAGAATTGTATGTATATATTTAAAATTAAAATCTTAGATAAATTTTCATTTATTTCTTTGGTTAAGATATACTAAATCAACTTGTATAAAATTAGAAAATGATATAAAATTGTATAATTATCAAAAATAAAACTAAACAGAATTTCTAAAATTTGTAACTGCCAAAAGAAAATAAATGGTACTGATAAAATTTTTATAATTTATGAAAAAATTGTAGTATTATAAAAATAGACTAAATCATATTTTAAAATTGTAAAATATTTTATATTAATTAAGGATATATTTAAATATATTTATTTTAATGATGATTTATGAATTATTACCATATTTTAAAAAGTTACCAAAAATAAAAATGAACAATAAATATAATTTTCCATTTCACGTTTTGCCTTAAACCTGTCACCTTTTTTACTATGTCACGAGGTTAAGATCCGCACCTTGTGCTGGATGAGAATTGTATATACGTATTATTTTATATATTATATATATATTAAATAATTCAAAATTAGTAAATATTATGTATATAATTAAGTTAGCGTGCTTACATAAATAAAAAGTCACACTTGTTTATTTAGAGTCACTTTATATAAGTAAATTTAGAAAATGAATTAACATAGATATATATAGTATATTTTAAATTTGTATATCTATTAAATGAAGTTACATATTTATATGGTTTATGATCATTTGTATATTTTATAACTAAATTTTTAAACCACTGATAACATTTTTTTAAAAAAGCATTGATAACATAATCTTTAATATGAGAGGTTTTATATTTACAATAATTCATAATCATTTAAAAAAATCAATTCAAAATTTGAAATTAAAGTATTAAGTTCTCAACACTTGTTCAATGCAATTTTGAAATTAAAAACTTTATATATTTTTTGATGGTATATAGTTTAATTTAAACATCATTAGAATTACTAGGGACTCTCCCGGGCTACGCCCGGGTTTCTTTCTATAATCTTAGAATTCATAAATTAAAATTTGTATTTGTAAATGTATATTAAAATCTATCATAAATTACAAAATAATCGAAAAATCTAAATTTATTTATGCATTCAAATTTTTCAATGAATTATATTCAAAATAGTTTAAACTCACAATTATTTGTGTTTGTTTTTACATTGGAAATTGTATATAGTATGGTCAGAAAAATGGACTGCCAGTTATTTAACTTTAGTAATGTTCAGAAATCTATTTTATTTTGATTATTTTTATGTAAAATAATTAATAAATTTACAAATTATTTATCCATTGTTATGGGTTTTGAATTATTGAGTTTACGTTTATAGGTCTTCAGTCCTCAAAAGGAAGTTTAAACCAACATACAGTATAAAATCTATAAATAAATAAATTTTACCGATTCCAATTTGAATCGATTCAATATTTCACAAAATAAATAAAATAATAAGATAATATTTTCTTTTATATATATATGATCCCATTAAAATTATAAATTAATAATTAATATTTATATTTCATATATGTAAGAAGCTATTCTTATATTATTTTTTTATATTCACAATGGAACTATCTTTATTTTTTATAACACTTAATATATTTTGATGAGATTTAGCAAAATTATATCTAAAACCAACTTTAATTTCTATGAAATATATATTATATAAACCATATAATATAATAAAGTTAATATAAATGTCGATTTTTTTAAAAAAAAAAATAACGATTAACTTCTATACCCTAAAATCAAATATTTTTAAACATTAAATAAATATATCTTAAAATAAGAAATCTAAATAAGGAAAATATTTTAAATTAGCATCTCTATAAATTAATAAAATTTCAAAATCCCAATATTATTAATTTGTAGAGGTTCTATTGTATTAAGTGTTAATATTTTTGATGAGATTAGTAATATGATATCAAAAACCACATTTAATTTATATTCAATATATATTATATAAACCATATAATATAATATTGTTAATATAAATGTCAAATTTCAAAAAAAAAAAAAAAAAAAATTCTATACGCTAACAAATATTTTCAAATGTTAGAATAAATATATCTGAAAATAAGAAATCTAAATAAGAATTTTTTTGTAAATTAATATGTCTATAAATTAATAAAATTTCAAAGTCTCAATATTATTAATTTATATAGGTTCTATTGTATTAAGTGTCTTCTGACTTACTTAATTTCAATTGAGAAATTAAGTTCATTGGTCTAACTAAGTTTACTCCTAGGCAAACTTGGTTTAATATATATATTGAAAATATTTTTCATAACTGTACAAGAAACAAAAAACCCTAGAAAATTGTTAAATGGCGTTGATGAAATCTCAGCAGACACATGGTAAAATAAAATTAGTTAACATGATTTCTGATTAAATGACCCATGATTTAAATCTGTTATTTTTATGTCAAATGATCAAGGATATGTATCATACGTTAAGTCAAAATATGAACAAAAGTACAAAGAGTATTGTGCTCAAAACCGGAACATATATCATAAGAACACAAAAAAATGAAAATAGTACATAAAAAATCCAAACCAAAGAAAAGATCGGGCTTCTCTCGACAACCTGACTTTTTTCTTTCAGAAATAAGCTGATCTTCTTTGTCGAAAAATAGGCCTCGGTTTAACGTGTCAGTTGGGGGTTTTGTTAGATGGAAACAAATAATTCAGAAAAAAACAAATCAATTACATGATATGAGATCCGATCCAGTGGCAGATCTAGACATGTTTTTCCTTGGGGGAAAACTACTAAAAATAACAAAAAACAGTTTTGAGTTGGGGGCATTTATTATGATTTTCCATTAAACTGCAAACAGTTTATCACATTAATCTGACTTATTCAAGAAAAAAACAAAAAAAAAAAAACAATAGGGGGCACAATGACCCCATACGCATACATATACGTCTGCTCCTGATCTGATCCCAATAAGATAATTGTAGGTTTTATGTAATCCTACTAAGAATCTATTAATAAAATTGCTGACATTTATTTATTTTCTACGTTTCTATTAAATATTTTCTCCTTTTCATTTTAAGTGTCATTTATAGAAATATTTCCGTTACAGAATAAGTATTATTTTAGATTTAAATACAATTTTTATCATTAATTTATTTCTTTTACCTCAAAATAATTAAAAGAAAAATAAAATCAGTAGAATTCTAAATGTTAAATAAGAGTAAAAATCAACATTTACCAATTTTCTTAATTAGCGTGAATTTAGAACGCCAATTAAAATGAAATGAAAAATATATGTTAGAGTTTTATTTAATTTTTTATTAATCTGTTTTAATTAGAAATGATATGCGATATTTAAAAATAATTGATTAAAATGTGTAAATTGAAATCATTTATCTATTGAAGCTCTTAAAGTTCTTGTTAAATATTTTTCTCGTTATAGTTTAATTAAAGATACTTCTTTTTACAAAATATTTTAAATTAAATATATATATTCGATAATGTTTATAAAATATTTATTTTGAAATCTTTCAGATATTATATATATGATTCAGTTCATACTAACAGCTAATGAACTACTATTTATATTTTGTTTCATAATTTGATGTATACTTTTATATATTTGAATAATTTATACAGTTAATTTATGTATCAAAATATTAACTTCTGTTTTGTATTTAACAGGAATTCATTATGATTATTACATATTTTCTCCGTTTTAGTGTATAAATAGATTTGAAGATTAAAATTAAAATTTTAAATTAACAATTTATATTTAAAATTTAAATTAAAATTTGAAATATAATTTATTATTATTTATTCTTTCTCGTTAAATAAGTGCTATATATATATTGCAGGTTTACAAAAGGATATATATATATATATATATATATATAATCACTTTGGACGATGTATTAATCACAGAAAATGCTAACTACGAAAACATACTAATTAGAGTTATAATCACATGTGTCTGTTCTCTGAAAATCTAAAGATGTTCTCCAATTGCAAACTCCGTCAAATTGTCAACATTATCGCTCATAAATTCTTAAAATCGATTGCTCCATCGGTTCCATTGTTGATCATTGCAGGAAAATCGTTTTGTTGTTGGAAAAATGACTGATTAGTCCAACGGCAGAAGCACATAGTGTCAAGTTACATTAATATTTACTCATGTCACTGTAAAAAATCGTTTACAGTCAAAAAGTTATACACATAGCAATTCAATAAGAATACACTGACCGACTTTGAAAATAAACAGTGATAAGACCTAATAGCTCACCACATTAGCCCTAGCAGGAAATAGTCATCCAATGATCACCCGCATCCAATCCCTGGTCTTGAGGTTCAGAGCCAATGGCAGTGGGATAAAACAGTGGTTGGGCACCCTGTACAACTATAGCTCGAGCTAGCTGCCTCGGGAAACCATTGATCCCAACCTATATCTGAACAAATACTTCAGTTATGATTTCGTCTACAGTCTACTTATAGATCACATGGATAAGTTACGCAAAAAACTCTCAGAGTAACGTACCTAGACCAAATTTTGCAAACTTTGTATGGAAAACCTATTCATAACCAGAGAGAAGTAATAAAACATGTTAACCAAACAGCATGATAGAGCAAGAAAATGTTTAATTTGGAGATTATTCTACTCAGAAACTACCAGTGTCACCCCACCATAGTAACCTGAAGAATAGAAAAGATATCATCAAAAGAAAGTCGAGATCTTTCCAACCCCAAACTTGATTCACCTGGTCCATCTGGGATATGTGACTTCCTATAAATCCCGAGGTTAGTTCCATCGGGGTCAATAATGACAGTAGAGTTGTAAGTGCGTTAATTTGCGTCCTCAGAGAAGCTAACCTGTATCACTACACTCAGATCCTTTGCCAGCTTCTGCATCCGGTGTTAGTAGTAATCCATATCCAACCATTAAAGCACAACTATATAACGTATAAATCTCCAGATGACATCTCCCGCGTGTTGATGAAAGTACAAAAAACCACAATCTAAGTATCACAAAGGTGCACCAAAATGAAAAAAAGGATACCTTACAATGGTAGAATAATCTCTGTGAGGCTTGGCTCGCTGAAAGTAGTCCTCTCTTGGAACTTGACAGAAGTAATATCCCGTCAAAAAGTTCCTGTGTTCATGGATATAAAAAAAAAAAGATTGGAGATACTTGCATTCATCTTGTATGGTAATCATTTTCAATACACCAATAGTCAAGAGAGGACAACATAGATCACTATAGAACATAACTTTACTTGACTCCAGAGTCCATAGATAGAGCATCAGATATGTCAATACTTAAGGCAAGTTATGACAATCTAAATCGAAACACTACATCAGATATGTCTCCTGAGAAAAACAAATGTGAGAAACATGTAAGAGGAAGAATGACCTGAATGAGAACGATGCTCGCTTCTTTTGCATGTGCTTCTCTGACCAGAAGGTCCAGAACCCAAAACCAAGAAACAAAAGCCCCATTGCTTGCTCTGTCGCTATAATTCTCTATGTAAACTTGTTTTACATTTTGTTGTTGTCTGTCTCTCTCTAACTCTCTATCGGTTGCTCCAATTAAGCTCCCTGAGTGAGCCGCTATAAATGTAATAAATTAATTAGCTAAGGAAATCAGGTGAGAAGCCAATGGTTTGAAGAAATGGTAAACTGACTTGAGAGGTAGAAGGAGAAAGCAAGGAGATTAATAAAATTGCAGTGAGGAAGGAGAAGAGTATACATCTTTGTCGCTGGAGTGTGGAAAACACAGAAACTCTAGGTAGAAGAACATAATATATAGTTTTGAAGGAGAAAACTGCAGATTATATATGTGTTTCCCGACCACCTTCATGTGGCCTACAAAATCTGAAACAATAACAAACAGTTGTCAAAAAGACAATAAAATGACTCTAAGTTGTTTTCTATTTGGATCATTCATTCTAGAAGAATTTAAAAACTCAATAAGATAATACGAACCCAGTTACTGTCATCTAAGTTGTTTTCTATTTGGATCATTCATTCAACCTTCTCATCGATGAGGAGCTCCGACTTATCTTCTCAGACATCATCTTGCCGGAGTTGATGAGCCATCGGGATTCGGCACCATCATCCGATCGACCGTGGAGGAGCTCTGACTTATCTTCTCAGACATCATCTCGCCAGGGTTTGCAGATCGTGATTTTTTGGATTCAACCGCTTAATTGTGGGAAACTCTCGATCTAGAAACGGTCTGAGAAGAGAGGAGGCGAAGAGATTAAGAGAAGATGAATCGAGATCATAAGGATGAGATGAGAGAAGTAGAAAAAATAAGGTTTTCGTTTCCAGATAACGATGCAAGTCGGAGCCTCATGTATTGGGTGAAATCAAATTAGAACCAAATTAAACCAAAACGAAGCCCAACGTAATAAGAGCGGATGACGTGGATGTTGCAAGCATTATGATTGGCTAAATAAAAAATCCGACGTGGACAGTCTCAAATCCTTTTAATAAGAACTTTTAATAGTAATAGATATATATATATATATTCTGAATATTTATTAAATGATACTTTCTACTCATTTATTGAATAATTGTTGTATCTTGTTATAACAAAAAACAATTATTAATCACACAAAAATATACGTTGAATTTTAAAGGTTTTCTTAATTTATAGTCATTATTTAAAATTCAAAATATAACATATACGAAAAAAATACAATTTGTTGTATTATATAGTTAGTGTGGTTATTTAATTTATTTTATAATATAAATTTAACAAAACGAATAGAGGGTACTATAATATTAAATCTTCCTTTTTAAATCATTAACTCTCATATATATATATATATATATATGAATCATATTAGGTAATTCTGTATTTTTTATTTAAGGAAAAAATAAATAATATTAATAATAGTTTATAGTTATTTGATAAAAAGTATATTATATGTTTACGTGACCCAACATTTTTTCTAAAAACTTTGAGAAGAATTTTAGTGATATTAGGTAATCCGTAGTTTTTAATTAAGAAAAAAATAAAGAATATTAATAATAGTTTATAGTTACTTATAAAAAGTATATTATATGTTTTGATGGACCAACATTTTTTCTAGAAACTTTGAGAAGAATTTTAGTGATGACACGTGTTATAGCTAAAATGTTATAATGTTTCTCATTTAATATATACAGGATGTCACCCTTTTTTTCGTGAAAGTGATTGTAGTGATAATATGGCAAATCACTTCTCAAATAATGTCTAGCCACTAGGGGATATACCTCTCGTCTCTCTCTTCCATCTGTATATACCAAAACCCTAGATCTTGATCTGTTCTATCTGGGTGGTCGGCATCCTCCTCTCCGTCTCCCCCCCCCCTTTACTTTATCTTCTTCTTCGCCTCTCCTCAACCCCTTCCCTCTTTGTTTCCTTTCTCATAGCTCTAAACTCAATTGCCACTGCGGTTGATCTAGTGGTTATTAGCTTGGAGTTTTGGTCAAGCTTGGAGGCAGGTTTGGCGAGCGGTTTCCTTGGTTAAGTAGGGAAGCAGTGGTTTAGATATGGTGTCAGATCCTGGCCACCTTATTCCTCCTTCTCGTGGTAGGTGAGCTAGCTCACTTGGCCTGCACCGGTGTTGGGTCTTGTCTAACGGTGGAGGTTCGGTGTTCTTCTGCTCATTTTGGCCGGTTAGCCAAGCTCTTGAAGGGGCTCTGGGTATGCTGCGCTCCCAAGCTAAGAGGTTCCGCTGCAGGTTATCTTTGGTGGGTGTGAGAGAGGTGGTTTGTTGTTGGTCTTGTCAATCGTCAATCTCTGTCTTGGTGACGTCTCGTGCTGAGTCAGTTAGCTTCCAGGGGCATGATATAGGGCTGTCTCTTGTCCACTTAGCCGATGTGATGCTGGCTTTCTCTTTCTTTTGTCTAGGTCCATGGCGTGTGGCAATCTCGGGTGGTCCTTCTCTCCAAATAAAGCCCTTCTATGTCTGCGTGGGTGAGCTTGCTCTGGTGTTGCTCACTGTCCATAGTTTCTGCCGATAAAGAGATCTCTCTCGATCTGTTCTTGAGGAGCTAATCATTAAGAACTGATCACCGGTACTACCGGATTCAGTTCTCAGTATGGTTCCGATTTCGTGGCAAGAGTTTGTGCTGAGTTTGATGTAGCCTGTGGTATTTTTGTTGCTTTGCTTATAGTTGTTGTTGGTCTTGTTTAGCTTAGACTGAGTTGGTGTTTAGTTTAAATTCTTACATCTTCTACTTCTTGTATCCTTTGTATTTATGTTTAAAACTTGAAAATGGAATAAAGTTTTAACATTGTTACCAAAAAAAAAGAAATTAGTTTTATATCTAATGAGAACATTATTTTAAGTGTATTAAATGTATGGTTGTATTTGGTGAATTCTTCTTTTCGTTGGGAAAATACACTTTTGTAACTGGAAATCATTAAATCGGTTTTGTAGTTGGATTATGTGAAAACCGGTTTTGTAATTGGAAATCAGTTAACAAAGTCAATTGGAAAACATATATAATTAGCGGTCCATCATCAATAAACAATAACCTTATCTGTCATTTTTCTACTAACCTAAAGGCTTTTAATAGGGGTTGTGAGAAGGATTGTAGTGTTGACACCTTAGAATAGTAATCAAGATAACAATTTAAAAATTTTTTCTCATTTAATATATAAAGGATTTAGTACTCATAGACATTGATTAAGTATTAATCTGCATTGTTCTATGCTTTTCACTTTAATTGGTTATACTAGGATAAGACCTGCGCCTTGCGCAGGGTGAATATATATAATTAAAATATAAAATTTTAGTATTGATAAATTTAAAATTTACATATGATTGTTTTTATATATATTTGAAATTTTAGAATTTTAGAATTTTTATATAATTATCTATACGTAGGATCAGAAACGATTGTAATTAGAACTGTAGATCAAATCTTAGAATGTAATGGACCGGATTTCATATATCTTTCCATTATTCAGTGGTCGAGTGATGGAAAATAAACTGAGTGTCATTGGGCTTGATTGGTAGAGTATTAGCAAGTTTTCTAATGTTTTTTTAAGAAACAGTTGGTAAAATATTTGTATTTAAAATATATAAAGTTTCAAAACTAATTTAATATAATTTATTTATTTGTCTAATAATATTAGAAAATTATATTTTTACAAATTATTATTTTTAAATAGGTTTATATAAAATTAAGTTAAATTTTAAATTATTTTTAAAAACAATATTTTAAGTTTTTCAAATACAAATAGACAATTTAAAATTAATTATGGTCATGATTTATCATAATCATAATGATTTAAAAAATAAAGAATTTAAAACTAACAAATTAAAAATTAAACTCAGTTTTATATCATGATTTAACAATTTAAAAATTAATTATGGTTATGAGAAGTTTACGTTCACATGTCAATCCTATTTATCTTCAATTTTTTTCTCTTGTTGTGTTTTTTTATATTTTGGTTATTACTCGATATAAATATTTATTTTGAAATTTATTCTCATTTCGTTTGTTTTGACCTGAGATTTAGAAAATACTTAAGATTTATAATAATTAAAGAGATACATAGTTAGGTCAAGATCTGTACTTTGTGCAGAATAAATATTTTATATTTATTATTTATTTATGTTTTTCTGCATATTATAAAATAATAAATATATATATTATATAACTAAGAAATCAGTTACTATAATGTAATAAATTGGCGTATGCATATAAATTTAACTATCACTCTTGTTTATTCGCAATTAGGGTAAATAAATCAAAATAATCAATCTTATATATTATATATGATATATAATTAAATTTTAAATGATATAAACATAGTAATATAGCACATTTTTAATATAGATATTTATTAAATGAGGTTTCTACTCATATGATTTTATGATTATTTGCATATTTGTGTAACAAAATTTTAATGTGAGATGTTTAGTAGTTTCAATAATTTATAATCATTTAAAAAAAAACAATGACATAGTTCAAAAATAAATATTAACTTTTCAATATATGTTCAAGGCAAATATCAAAATATAGGTATATATTTTCATACGATGTATAGTTTAATTAAAATGATATGAAATATATGTAAACTAAAATTATTTCTTCATATGGTCTTATAATCATTATATTTTAATATAGAAAAGAAATTAAAACATTGATCCTAAAAGTTTATATGAGACTTTTAACAGTTTTAGTAATTTATACTCATTTTGAAAAATTCGAAATACAACATACACAAAAAAAATCTAGATTTTTATTATATGATTAATGTAATTTTGTAATTTATTTTAATAATAAAGAAATAAGCAAAATGAGAAAAAGTATACAGATTGTTATCAAATCTTTATTGTTTAAAATCATTAATTGTCATATATATATTTTAATCACATTAGGTAATTTTGTAGGTTTTATTTAAGGAAAGCATGCGAAACAATAAATATTTTATATATGCGACCAACTATAGCCTACGAAATATTATATTGCTAGAGAGTATAATTTTTAAA